AAGTCGCATATATTAATGTCTATTTTATGTCATCAAGAAGACATTAAATTACACTTAATGTCATGTATTTTGTTGTTTTACAAGTCAAAATCCAAATAAGTTGATTTAGAAATTCATAATATGTCTTTTATAATCAAATTATTAAAGAGGAAGTCTTAAAAGTAGGTAATTAACAAATAAAGATTTTAGTTATATCATGTAATAGTAACTTAAATATTTGAAATATATTTAATGAATTTGATAATAATAGTTTACTACTAACATACACAGTACAATGGTGTTATTTAATGAAAATGAAATATTAACTAAAATTGAATGGTGAACTAGTACTCAAAAGGGTACAAGTAAACATAACATAATCGGAGTAGACAATAAATGTAAACATAAACAAATAACACTGGTTATAAATAGACAGTAATTGTCAACATAATCAACATTTAATACAAAGATCTTGGGTATGAAAAGAAAAATTACATCAACTTAATGGTCAAAAACAATAACAAAAGCACCATGTTGAATGACAACAAACCATGAAAGTGAAAGAATAATAAAATTGAAAAAATAAAGTCTTACAACAATCATTGAAGGAGAGATTAAACACAATTGCTAGTTTACTATGAAACTAAAAACTACGGACTGAGATGAGATTCTTGCATGACTTCTTATTGTGTCCACCTTTTCTACACCGTGAACACCATTGGCGGGAAGAAAATCCCCAGTTGAAGAAGATGTATGCTTCTTAGGTCTACCATGTTGGCATGTGAGACATGTAGATGGCTTTCATATTTTAGATGTGGATTGTTGATTATGGCATTGTCTAAAATCAATGAGGTGTGAATGGTCAAAATCAACCCTGAAAAGAAGAACACAAAATATCAGATAAGTATAGACACTAAATAGTCCTTAAATAGTCCATAAACAAGTAGAGAAAGGCATTAAAATAAAATTAAAGGGAGTATATAAAATTCAGAATGATCACAACATGTCACTTGTAAAATCACTAATCTGGAACATATGAGTTATGACTTCCAGAAAGTATCACTCCACAAACAGCCTAAATGCATTCATCATCAACACAAACAACATGCAACTACATGAGTATGATGGAAGTTAGACAACTTCAAAATCAGGAACAACACACAAAAAATTCAAGCAAGAGTCTAAATCAAAACTGAGAGCTTGACTTGAAGAAGACAAAGTTAAAAGGTGTTGAAATGAATCATTAAGTTGTCTTCTTATTTAATCTTCACTGGAAGAGGAATGTATGTCTTCTGAGTTCATCAAATCATGTTCTTTTGTGCACATCGATGTAATGTAAGCAGAACTTTATATCATATTGTTTAGCTAAATTCCAAATTGCAGGATAAATCAATCCACATCCTTAGTTTGATCTGTCTAACCAAAAATCATGCAAAAACCGAAAAAGTATCGATTTCCATACCATTGGTTAGGGGTGGGCAATTCGGTTTACGGTTCGGTTTTCTTCGGTTTCGGTTCGGTTTCGGTTTATTTGGGTTGGGAGAATTTGTACCAAACTAAAACCATTTGTGTTTCGGTTTGGTTTCGGTTCGGTTCGGTTTGAAATTCGGTTTACCAAAGTAAAAAATACGGAGTATTATGTTTAATTTAGTTTGGTTTGATTTGTTTGCTTATGTTTATTATTTTATTTGATCAAGTTCTATATTTTAGAATTAGAAAATGAAAGTAGTAGTCCATCTCATCTTTTTTAATTTATTGATTATTTAAATAAAATGTAAAAGGAAATAAAAGATAGAAAAATAAATAATAAAATATTATAAATTAAAACTTCTTACACCTTTTTTATCACTACAAAAAATTCACTTCTTACAAAAAATTAGATAGTTGATTAGCATTTGTAATATCAGATAAAATATTCAAAAAACCTAAAAGAGTCGGTGGTACAAATGTTGCAACATTCACAATTTTATTCAAATGAATCATGTAAAAATATAAATGCAATTTGTTATTGTTATCGCCACACATAATAAATACTCCGTACAAATATGTCGTATTTACTAACTTTGTCATAATGAATGTATGAAATGTGTAAAAATTAAAATGATACGAGTATATGCTTAAATATGTATATTCATGTCTAAATTATTTATTTATATCGTAAATATGAAGAGTGAAGATAAATGCAAAGTACATATATATATATATATATATGTTGTTTGGTGTTCAGTTCGGTTTACGGTTTTTCCGTTTTAAACAAAACCAAACCAAAGTGCCAAACCATTCGGTTTGAGCAAATGTTTACCAAACGGTTTACTTAATTAAGTAAACCCAAACCAAACCAAATCAAACCACCAATGTTAATAGAGATATTACCCGAAATAGGGCTAAAAGAGTTTGAAAATTCCAAAATAGGACTGTCATGTTTTTATTCCCAAAATAGGACTAATTACTGCCATGTTTTGGCAGTATCAAACTTCAAACATGACAGTATTTTCCAAACTTGGCAGTAATTACTCTTATTTTGGGAATAAAAAACATGACAGTCCTATTTTGGAATTTTCAAACTTTTATAGTCCTATTTCGGGAACTTTCCCATGTTAATAATATATGATTTTTTTTAGTTTCTTTAGTTCGGTTCGGTTTTGTTCGGTTTTTATCGGTTTCGGTTTGGTTTGGTTCGGTTTAATACGTTTTGAAAGAAATAGTATCAAACTCAAACCAAATTGCATATGGTCCGGTTTCGGTTCGGTTTAGTTCGGTTTGGTACAGTTCGGTTCGGTTAAACCAAACCGTTATGCCCACCCCTACCATTGGTCACAAATTCACACGAAACTGGTTTTTTCAAATCACTCATACTTCCAAGTTCAGACAATTTTATTGTAGCGTTTTCAAAAGTTTTCCAAGAGAGCAGAAAATCCAAACTAAATTAGTTAACCAACTTAGCAATTAATAAGATAAAGGATGAAGAGTGAAAAAATGAAAGTCAGGGGAGAAAGAAACAAATAAACTAAACTACTTTAAGAAACTAATTTGAATGAATTATTGGCTTTTTGTGTGAACCGATGGCGTGCGTGCGTGAAAACATATTTTTTAGCTACGAAAAGGATTAACATATTCTCTCATCAGTTAATTCAAAATTAATTGAAGCAAAACTTCATCTTAACCTTGTCTACATGAATTTGAAATGGCTAAATCTAAAGCCACTAGCAGAAACTCAAACAAGAATAAGACTGTGACAACAATTGCCCAAAATTATTCAAAATTCCAACTCACATTCGATGCAAAAGGGGGAGTAAGTTCCTTAATTCAATGGCAAAGTTGATTCCCTTTTCGATAGAGGACTTAAGCTCAGGCTTCAGTTTCTCATGTCCTTTCTTCTCGAAGTCAGACATGGAACCCAACCTTGAGACTTCTTCCACACCTTTTTTTCAAGTCTCACCTTGGATGCAAAAAAGGAAGCTTAGTAATGGTTAATTGCACAAAAGAACATTCAACAACATCAGGCACTCCGTTCAATCCTTTCAAGCAAGCATCTGCAAATATGGCCCCAACATATACCATCGAGAGTGTGGCTGAACTCCAGCCTTACCTTCAATTCCGCAACTTCCGTACCTCCCTCTTATGTTCTTTTTGTAAGTGCAACAATTACATCATCAAATAAGTGGGTTTCAGTGTAGATTGAGAAAACATATATATTGAATCAACAAATAAGTTAAGAACATAGATTAAAAACTCACGGATCCGAGTTGCGCGATGTGACGAGAAATAAAAATGCAATGCGGAAGGGGATCCGATTTTGTAACACGATGGGTTCCCATTCAGACGAAGAGCGGAAGAAGAAGACATGGTCGCTGCGGAAGAGAGTCGTCGTTGAGGAAAGTAATCGTCTTTAATACGCAGGGTAAAGTGAAGGGTAAAAAGGGGAAAAAAAATTAGGTTTTCTAATATATAACTAAATACTATCCTCCGTCTCTTTTTAATCGCAACATGTTTAATTTTACACTATTCACATGTTCTACTTTGACTACATTTTATATTATTATTTTATGAAAATTATTTTTTTTGAAAAGTATTGTTTAATTCATCTCATTACAAATTTTCAAAATCTAATTTTTAAATATTTTTTACTAATAAAGATTAAGATATAATTACGGTCAAAGACGTGCGTTGACAAGTGTGAAATGTTGACCGTTGCAACTAAAAAAGAACGGGGAAGTAAGTCTTAGGGATGAAAAAAACTAAGTCCTAATTTTATAAACTTTATGGGTATGTTTGGTTCAAGGAATGTCAGATAACCATGGGAATGTTAGATTACTGGGTATGTTAGATAGATGGGAATGTGATTAATGTATAGCCTATTTGTGTTTGGTTACGATTAAGGAATGTCACATTAAGTTGTTTGGTTGAATGATATCTTTTATTGCATATTTGGTGAATTACTTGAATGTCCTTTATATATTTGTCTCTTAACACATTAAACTTATCAATTATTAGAAAATATATTTCATGTTTTAATTTTTTTTCTCAATTTTCAATTGTAGTTCATGTTTCAAATAAATATACTTTAAGTTTTTATATGTAGCACTTCTTGAATTAATTTTTAGACATGAATTAGAAAAATGTACCCGACCCGACCCGTTACCCGGGCGGGTAGACCGCCCCGAACCGGTACTGGTCAACAGCCGTTCCGGTCCCGGGCTTCATTCCCAAAAAGCCAAGCCCATCCGGGCCCGACCCGGAATCGGACTGGGCTCGGTCCACGTCTAGATATTTCGATTAATGAAGCATAGGTTTTTTTTGGAAGAAAATTAATAAGCCATCAGGAATCTTACATAACCTAAGGCATTGGTGGGTTTGACATGCCTGGTAATGTGATCACCTTTTCCACTTTTGGGAATGTAACATTCCCAAATGAAAAAATCAAAACCGCGAACCAAACACATGTATCTCACATTTCGGGCATGAGATTCCGCCATGCATAAGATATCACCTTGAACCAAACACTCCCTGTATGTTTTGGTCTTATCAACAACAATTTTCTCTTCGAAATTCTAATAAAATCCTCCCAACTGTCCTGACTAAACCGCCAATAACCCCAGTGCTCGAATTTCTCCGGCACCAGCAGAGTATCTCCGTGAGCCACCTGATATATATAAGCAACAAATTCAAATGCAGAGCATCTAACTCCAAGACAAATTTGTGGTTTTGCTTAGCTGAGAAACCCTAGTTCAATGGAGGAAGCAGCTGACGGAAACGAGCCCTCAGCCTTGACGCCGGAGACGAAGGTGGAGGAGACAGACGACGACGGTCCTGTTATTGGTCCCGGACCAGCTCCTCGTGCTCGTCCCAAGAGACCCCTTCAATTCGAGCAGGCATATCTTGATTCTCTCCCATGTGCAAACTTGTAAGTACCATATCACAGAATGAGCTATGTGTTCGGAGAATCGTTTAGGGTTTCTAAAGTTTTATTCACAACAATGCCAATTATGAATATAAATGGCTGAAAAATCATGATTTGGAGTTGCTCACTTCTTGAACGTGATTTTAATAACCCAGTATATACCTCCGCACACTTGATTAGGCTCTTCCTCCAGGGTCCATACAAGCAGCAGTTTTCAGTCAGAGTATCTAATAAATTGCCTTCATTTGTTTTGACTGTCCTTTTAAAATGACGTTCATTGTCTGGTTAATGTTTGTGTCTTTTAATTGTGTATCTATCTATCCACTTTGATATTGTCTCCTTGTTCTGCCTCACTGAATAATAACCACCAGCCTCCCTGAAGTTAATTCTGCAGAGGTTAGTATGAGTCAGCAGAGACACTCATCACATTAATGCTTAATTACATATGCAAGTTTATGGGGGTGTTTGGATCTGATTCTCAAAACTGATTCTGCTCCTTCATGGAGCAGAAGCAGAAGCTAGAGTGTTTGGGTGAAATTCCAGAAGCACTTCTGGAGCTCTAATTTACTCTCAGAATCAGTTTTTTTAGAAGCTGGGGGGTACCAGCTTCTGAAAACTGATTCTGATTCTGCTTCTGCTTTTAAAAAAGAAGCAGAAGCAGAATCAGTTCCAAACACCCCCTATATTCATAAAAGATATTTCTTTTAAGGAGTCTTGTACCCCTTTATATTAAAGATGCCATTAATTTCACTATAGAAGTAACTTCTAAATCACCCTCAATTGTTTTCAGGTATGAGAAAAGCTACATGCATCGAGATGTGGTTACACATGTTGTTGTGTCAGCAGCAGATTTTTTTGTCAGTGGGAGTGCTGATGGTAAGACCAACTTCATGTTGTGAAGTAGTACCTATTAATAGAGGCTGTTTACCTCTTTATTGAGTATTATATGAGCCAATAAAAACGTGGCTAGGTGACTATGATGCTTACCTGATTCCTCTGTATGTTCTTTTTATATTGCGAGAGATGGTACAATAGTTTCCTATTTTGTTGAGTGGGATTAGTATTTTCTTCAGGGTTCATTTTAATACTTCAATATCTTCAGGTCACTTAAAGTTTTGGAAGAAAAAGCCTTCTGGTGTTGAATTTGCAAAACACTTTAGATCTCATCTTGGTCCAATTGAAGGCCTTGCTGTAAGTTTCTCTATGTTGTTTGTGTCCCCCCTCCTGCGTGGTATACAAGTATATTTTGTGTAGCACTGAAGATATTGGTTGCTCCTTTCCGATGTATTAAAAAAAGAAGATATTGGTTGCGACATTAGGCATGAAATTGTCAATTATTTCCCCCGATTAAATTCACATCAGTACACTTCATTTTTAATATTGTTTTGGTTATTGGGTCTGGTGGATGGTTGAATTTGTTTATTTTTTGCTAGTGTATTACATCATCTAGACCCTTTTGATGCTCTCCAAAGTCACCTTGAGCTGCCCTCAACTCTCTAGGGTCCAACTGAAATAAAAAGAATGACATCGATGATGATGATACTAATAACAATACTAGTAATAATAATAACAATGATGATGTTGATAATATTACTCCATGTGTCCCATAATGTAAGATACACGTGGGTTAGGTGCGGGTTTTAAGAAAATAAAGGAAGAAGTGGTTGTTTTGTAATTGTAACCTCCAAAAAGTACATGCCAAAAAAACCTCCAAAAAGTAAGAAAAAGTTAGATCAGTCCACGTAATGTAAAGGGTGAAATGAAAGTTTGAGGATAAAGTGGGAAAATAAAAAAGTTTAGGGAAGTGTTCATATTTTTTGCACAACTCAAAAAGAAAAATGTATCTTACAAAATGGGACGGAGGAGTAAATAATAATAATAAATATAATAATAAAAATAGAAATACTACCTCCGTCCCATTCAAAGGTTCCCATGGCAAAATATCACAATTATTTGTATAATCATTAAATATGGTAATTCGAATATATTTTGAGAAATAATTTTGATGGGTATATAATGTAATGGGTTATTGATGATAACTGTGATGTTATAGATGCATTATTTTTAGTATTTGATGATTAAATTGTTTTTTGAGAGTGTTAATTGTTTTCTAAAATAGAATATAAGAGCCTTTGAATGGGATGGATGAATGGGATGGAGGGAGTAATATTGATAATAATAAAGGTTGCAAACTTGCAACTTGTCTATCGATGAACATGACATGAAGTTTAAATGTTTGATTTAGTTACTAGTTTTCTACAAAAGCATTTCGACTTTCATTGTCTGTAATGGGAAAAAGTGTACATACTAAGACTCATGCTCATTCCCTGAATTTCAATTCATGTAAAATTAGTTATTTGCATCTGTGTTAAGAGTGCTAGTCAGGCTACAACCTTGGCTTGTGATTTGTATATAGGTAAGCACTGATGGAATGCTCTGTTGTACGATTTCGAATGACCGATCTGTAAAGATATATGATGTTGTCAACTATGACATGATGGCCATGATACACCTTACCTTTGTACCTGGTTCTGTTGAGTGGATTTACAAACAGGGGGATGCCAAAGCCAAATTGGCTGTTAGTGACCGTAACTCTTCTTTTGTTCACATATATGATGCACGAGCTGGTTCAAATGAGCCTATCCAATCTAGAGAGGTATTTGCAGTTTGCACTTGAAGTACTAAATTTTGTAATGCTTCCTGTGTCCCAAATTATACTCCCCATTTACTTTTGGCATACAAATTAAGACAAAAATAGACGTGGGTTGACAAGTGAAGTGTGGTGGGACCCTTCCCTGGACCCTCTCCTTGAGACGACACCAATGTGACATTATAGATGTGGGTTGAGATTTATTTAGACATGAAAGATACAGCTGTAACCAAGGTTTAAAAAGGCGAGTTCAGGTATCAAGGCGGTTTGTTCCTAAGAGGTGAGGCGTGAGCTTTGAGGCGTAAGCCTCAAAATATATAGACATATAGAACTTAAAATAGTTAAACTAATAACAAACAACTAAAGAAGTAAAGGATATATCCATAATTATAATTCCAAGAAGTGTGAAACACAAACACATATGAGCTAATACCAGTAAGTCATTAGAATTCAAACACACAAACAGACACATCACACACAAACAGACATATCACATGATTCACACACATAAACATCACACACAAACTGAAAGATGAATAGAAAGCACGTTAGGGACTTAGGGTTTAAAAGAATAAAAGACTTGTTAGGGTTTAAATAAAATAAGACTTGCTAGGGTTTAGTGTGGCCACATGTTTAATTAATGGACTTCTATTTAATTGGGCAGAGGAAGTGTTACCTTTTTTATTCTATAATATCACTTTGAAAACATGGTTTGATAATTTAATTTTCTATGTGTTCAGATCCATGTGGCCCCAGTTAAAGTCATGAAGTACAATCACAACTTTGATACTGTGATATCTGCTGATGAAAAAGGAATCATTGAATACTGGAATCCTAGTACACTCCAGTTTCCTGAAGAAGTGTATGTGTGTTGGTGTATTGTACTCCCTCCGTCCCACAAAACTTTGGGACAACTTTCCTGATTTAGTCATCCCAAAAAAATTTGTCATTTCATTTAAAGTAATAAATGTGGTTAAATTTATTTCTCTCTCCTCTGCACAAATCTCAACCACACAGTTTTTAAATTATCATTCCACATGCAAGTCACTTTGGCCAAGTTTTGTGGGACGGAGGGATTATGTTTACTTGATTGTATACTATTGTCTTTGAATCATTGGTCATCAAAAGCTCTACGCTTCAGTCCTTTCTTCTCTCTTTGGATGTGTATTATTTGTGTCTATCTTCTTAACCCAAATTATTTCGCTGTTCTCTCGGCAAAACATTAGGATTTGGACAAATCCTATATCCAGAGTATTTCGAACAGTTTTCTAATCTAATACAGAGTATTTATTTTATTCCTCTTTTTGAAACATCTCTCCGGTTGCACATATCTATGAGTTTTTATTATTTTTTAATCACCTTGTCTGCTATTGTCCTTACTGAAAATACTTAATATTGTGCACAGTGTGAACTTTAAATTAAAAAGTGATACCAATCTTTACGAATTTGTGAAGTGCAAGACTACTATATCTTCCATTGAGGTAATATATATGAACCTATACTCCATTCATTCCTCTTTATCTGTCTATTTAATAATTATATGGAGCATTAATTACTCTTTCTTGTCCACTTCGTGCGTTTTCAATAAAAGTTGGCAAATGCTCCCCGGGATTTGCCCCACTGATTTTTGTCGTTTGCCTTCCGGGTTAAAAAAAAACTTTTCGTGTCCACTGAGTAAGTATACATGAACCTATACATATCCCCTCAACAACAACAATAGCATTCAAGTCTTAGGTGCTGTTCTGTTCGTCTTATTCTTATTACTTATTGCTTATTCTTATTTTATTTAGATCAGATCAGATCAGAAAAATTCAGATCAGATCAGATCAGAAAAATTCAGATCAGATCAGATCAGAAAGATTCAGATCAGATCAGATCAGAAAGATTCAGATCAGATAAAAAAGATTCAGATCAGATCAGACCAGATCAGAAACATTCAGATCAGATCAGAAACATTCAGATCAGATCAGATCAGAAAAGTTCAAACATGATTTATCATTTTTATTATTATATTAAATATTAATTATTATTATTAATATTGTTATTACTATTATGATTATTATTATATAATTATTATTATTATTAATATTAATAATAATATGATAAAAAAAGATACTCCCTCCGTCCCAATTTGTAAGATACATTACGGTTTACGATGTTTGACTGACGATAAAGCAAATTGATCCCTGTCAACACTCAAATTATTTTTAGAAAATAAAATTTACATATTCAGAAACTACATTAAAACCGCTACAAAACCTGCAAAAAATAATTCAAATTTCATAAACTTTTGATATATAAAATACAAGATTAAAAGTGATTTGTGTTGACCAAGTGAATAGTAAATGTATCATACAATTTGGGACTGAGGGAGTATTAATATTAGTTATAATATTTTAATATAATAATAGTAATATAAATGCAATTGTTAAGAAGACTATTATTATTATTATTACAATATTATAATAATAATAATATGATTAATATTATTATAATATTATATTATAATTATATGTAATTATAATTATAATTACAATTATAATTCTTATAATTATAATTATAATCAATTGTAATTATTATAATTATATCTATAATTAATTATAAATATAATTGTAATTAATTATAATTATAGTAATTATAATTATAATTATAATTACAATCATAATTATAATTATGATTATAATTATAATTATAATATAATATTATAATAATATAATACTAATTATAATAATAATCATATTATTATTATATTACTGTAATAATAATATTATTATATTATTGTAATAATAATATTAATATAATAATGTCGTTATAATAATATTAATTGTATTTATATTACTATTATTAAATTATAATATTATAATTAATGTTAATATAATTATAATTATTTTTAATTATAATTATAATAATTATAATTATACTTATAATTATATTATAATTATAATTTATGATTATAATTATTATTTTTATTATAATTATTAATATTATTATTATTATTATTACTATTGTAATTATTTTACGGAGTAATTATAATAATATTGATAACTATAGTTACAATTATAGAGATAAATATTGTAATTATAATTACAATTATAATTATAATTTTATTTAAATTATATTTGTAATTGCAATTATAATAATTATAATTATAATTATAATTATAATCATAGAAATTTTCGAATCAGATCAGATCAGAAGGATTCAGATCAGATCAGAAACATTCAGATCAGATCAGACCAGATCAGAAACATTCAGATCAGATCAGACCAGATCAGAAACATTCAGATCAGATCAGAAAGATTCAGATCAGATCAGATCAGATCAGAAAGATTCAGATCAGATCAGATCAGATCAGACAGATTCAGATCAGATCAGATCAGATCAGAAAAATTCAGATCAGATCAGATCAGAACTTAAAAAATTCAGATCAGAAACATTCAGATCAGGCGAAGAGAACAGCTTCTTAGTCCCAAAAGATTTTGGGGTCGGCTAACACGAATCAATACATGATATCGGAGCCCAAAGGAAAAGAAAGATAAGAAAGATTCAAAATTAAGGTATGATAAAAAGATAAGATAAAGGTAAATGTAAGATAAAGATAAAAATGATAAGATAAAAATGATAAAAAGAATATATATAACATAAAAAAGGATAAAAGGATAAAGAACATAAGAAAAATAAAGAAGATAAAAGGATAAACTAGAGAATTAAAAGAGAGTAGGAGTACGTTGGGATACATGAAAAGAGAATTACAAACGTATTGTATTCTTAATTGTGTTGTGAGTTTTGAAACGGGTACTTCTGATAAGACCATATATGTCGGAACTATTTTTTAAAAATTTATGTTTCTTTCGGAATAGGTATGCTTTAGTCACTTATATAAAGTGGAAATATATTTAGGTCCTGGGGGAGTAATATCATTTCATTTTTTACCATTTATTCTAAACGTGACTTTCAGACATCGCAATTACATTTGTTTATCATTAAATTTTTATTAATTTCTATCAGAAATTGTTAATAAATTCTTAATGGATTCACTTGGGAAAATGCAATGTATAATAACAGTGAGGTTACTTTCGTGCTATATCTTACCATCTCTTATCTTTTGTTTTCAGGTTAGCCCAGATGGTAAGCAATTTTCCATTACTTCTCCTGATCGTAGGATCCGCGTGTTTTGGTTTAGAACTGGTAAATTAAGACGTGTCTATGATGAATCTCTTGAGGTAGAATTCATCCACTTTAAAGCTTCATTCTGTAAATGTATTATAGTATGTATTAGCCACTATACTAAACATATTGTGTCTTCTAGGTGGCACAAGATCTTCAAAGAAGTGATGTACCTTTGTACCGACTGGATGCTATTGATTTTGGACGAAGAATGGCCATAGAAAGAGAGTTTGAGAAAACTGAAAATGTGCCACAGCCAAATGCTGTCTTTGATGAAAGTTCAAACTTTATTATATATGCAACACTATTAGGAATCAAAGTAAGATGCAGACATAGTGAAATCAGTGCAGTGTTTGTCAATTGGATCTATTCATGTAGTTTATTTAAATCTCACCACTATCTTCAAATGTGTCAGATTGTAAATATGCATACCAATAAGGTTGCCCGGATTCTTGGCAAGGTCGAGAGCAATGATAGATTTTTAAGAATTGCTTTGTATCGAGGTGATAGAAGCAACAAAAAAATCAGAAAACTCCCTGTAGCAGCAAATGCTAATGAAAGCAAGGAGCCTTTGATGGACCCCACACTCCTCTGCTGTGCTTTCAAGAAACATAGGATCTATTTGTTCAGGTATTATAATATCCACGATGCAGTATAATTGGGTTTATTCATTTGTGATTTCGTTTGTAATACTATTATGATAAACATCTGCTATTCACAGTCGGAGAGAGCCTGAAGAACCTGAAGATCCAAGCAAAGGAAGAGACGTGTTTAATGAAAAGCCTCCTCCTGATGAACTTTTGGCTGTATCAGACATTGGAAAGGCTGTCACAACATCTCTCCCAGATAGTGTGGTGTGTAAATATTTCTTTATTCCTGTTTTGCACTTCCATTTTTTCCCCTTACTGCGCATAAGAGAAGTATTGATCATCATCATTATTATCAACACCACCTTAATCCTAACTGCTTTGGGGGTCAATTTCCTGATAAAGTGCCAATTGTTTGTCTTGGACAATCTCAGTCTTCATTCTTCACAGTATAATTTTTTCTTAATACTGCAGAATGAAAAAGTTTTATGACGGATTGCCCTTCATGTGGCAACCTTTAAAAAGAGTTGATAATGATATCAATTTTTTAATTTGTTATTATCATAGTGTCTTTTGACATGCATAGTTGTGTGAGAAATATGTTACGGACCAATTCTATGGCCGAACATATGAACGAAGAAAGCATAGGGGGGCCGAGAAGATTAATGACCAACGTGGCTAAGAGAAAAGAAATAAGAAGGCAGTTAGAGTCAGATTAATATTAGTATTTAATTACTCCTACTTGAATTAGTATTCATTTATTTAAGTTATATTAGAATAGCAACTTAGTTTCCTAATTGTTTTAGGAAACCCTTTAGCAACTTAGTTTCCTATTTGTTTTAGGAACTTCATGGATCCAAATTCTTTACCAAACTTGACTTGCGTTCGGGCTACCATCAGATCCGCATGGCAGAAGAGGATATTGAAAAGACGGCTTTCCGAACTCATCACGGTCACTTTGAATTCTTAGTCATGCCATTTGGACTCACCAACGCACCATCAACGTTTCAAAGCTTAATGAACGACATCTTTGCCCCATACCTTCGCAAATTTGTCCTCGTTTTCTTTGATGACATACTCATTTATAGTAAGTCATGGGTAGAACATGTTTATCATGTCCGCGTGGTACTGGAGACCTTGCGCACTCATGGTCTGTCCATAAAAAAATCCAAATGCAGTTTTGGGGCACCACAAGTCCAATATCTCGGTCATATCATCCATAGCAAAGGCGTTGAGGTGGATCCAACCAAAATTCAGGCTATCATGGAATGGCCGACACCCCAATCAGTTACGGCTTTACGCGGTTTTTTGGGCCTGGCAGGTTATTACCGCAAATTTATTCATCATTATGGTGACATTGCCGGACCACTTACACAATTACTGAAGAAGAGTGCCTTCTCCTGGACAGATACAGCCGAACAAGCATTCAACGAGCTCAAATTGCGCCTTTCATCAGCCCCGGTTCTCCAATTACCTAACTTTGACAAAGAATTTCTCATAGAATGTGATGCATCGGGATCTGGCTTTGGGGCCGTATTACAACAAGAAGGCCATCCCATCGCATATTTTAGTCGCAAAATTGCTGCCCGCCATGTTAAGCTTGCAGCTTATGAACGAGAGCTGATCGGGTTAGCCAAAGCAGTCACCCATTGGCGACCCTATTTATGGGGATCTGAATTCCTTATTCGAACTGATCATTCAAGCTTGAAACATTTACTGGATCAGCGACTTACTACGTCTCCGCAGCAACATTGGCTAAGCAAATTAATGGGCTTTAATTTCCGAGTCGAATATAAACCAGGACGCTTCAACACTGTCGCGGATGCTTTGTCTCGACAACATGAAGAGGTTATGCAACTGGCAGCACTCACAATTCCTTTCAATACTCTCCTCAGTGAAATCCGGTCTGAACAAGCTGTTTCCCCAACTATGAAAACGATTCGTCAGGAAATCCAGGAGGGAAAACGAGGGCCAGATTGGGAACTCCGAGACGGCTTAATTTATCACCGCTTCAAACTCTATCTGTTAGATACATTTGAAGTAGTTCAGACATTGCTCTCGGTATTTCATAACATGGCTCATGAAGGTGTTGAAAAAACTCTTCAACGACTACGACGGGAGTTTTATTGGACTGGTATGAAGACCACGGTAACCAACTTTGTCCGGGATTGCCAGACATGTCAAAAGCAAAAATGGTTAACATTACAACCGGCTGGCTTATTGCAACCTTTGCCCATTCCACATCACATTTGGGCAGATATTTCCATGGATTTTATTGAGAGCTTACCCAAGGTCCGGAGTAAATCTGTCATTCTGGTTGTTGTTGACAGACTCTCTAAAGCCGCTCATTTTATCCCTTTAGCTCACCCATATACGGCAGTTTCCGTGGCTAGCATATTCTTTTCTGAAATTTTCCGTCTTCATGGGCTACCGGAATCCATTGTCTCTGATCGTGACAAAATTTTTATGAGCACTTTCTGGCGCGAGTTATTTCGGCTATCTGGTACCAAACTTGTTTATTCTTCCGCCTACCACCCACAAACAGATGGTCAAACAGAGGTGGTTAACCGCACGGTAGGGGTATTTTTACGTTGTATCACGAGTGATTATCCCAAGGAATGGGTTCGTTGGCTGCCTTGGGTGGAGTATTGTTACAATACATCCTACCATTCATCTCTAGGGGACACGCCATTTCGCATGGTTTATGGCAGGGAACCACCGCGGATGCTCTCCTATATCCCTGGAACAGCCAAAGTGGAAGGCGTTGATCGAGAGTTAATTGATCGGGACGATCTTCTCAAGCGCGCTCGTGACAGATTGGCTCAGGCACAACAGAGAATGAAAAGTCAGTTTGATAAAGGCCACCGCGACCTCTCTTTTGAACCAGGGACTTGGGTTTGGCTCCGTTTACAGCCATATCGTCAGGTCACAGTAGGACGGGGCAATTCCAAACTGTTGCAAAAATATTTTGGTCCATTTCAGGTCCTGGAACGCATTGGCCAGACTGCTTACAAGCTGCAATTGCCCGCAGATGCTCGTATACATAATGTTTTTCACGTATCCCTTCTCAAGCCACATCAAGGACCTTCTCCCGCATCAATGGGCAGTCTTCCTCCAGCACCTCGCAATCTGGAAACCGCAATTCCCAAGGCAGTTCTTCGCAGCAGGTTTTTAAATGGCAGCTGGGAGCTTTTAGTTCAATGGCAGGGGCAGCAAGTAGATGAGGCCACATGGGAACCACTCGATTCCTTCCAGAAGAGATACCCTGAGTTCAAGCTTGAGGACAAGCTCTTGGTCCAGGGGGGGAGTGATGTTACGGACCAATTCTATGGCCGAACATATGAACGAAGAAAGCATAGGGGGGCCGAGAAGATTAATGACCAACGTGGCTAAGAGAAAAGAAATAAGAAGGCAGTTAGAGTCAGATTAATATTAGTATTTAATTACTCCTACTTGAATTAGTATTCATTTATTTAAGTTATATTAGAATAGCAACTTAGTTTCCTAATTGTTTTAGGAAACCCTTTAGCAACTTAGTTTCCTATTTGTTTTAGGAAACCCTTTATCTATTTAAGGGGATCCCAGCCACTTTAATAAAGAGCTTTTTGGTTAATTAATCTTGAGATCTCTTGACTAGGTCGGAGATCGATAATTATCTATTAAGCCTCTATTTCAGTTCATCTATTCCTCATCAATTAAAAATAGCTCCAGGAATATCATCTTTTACCGGTGGTAAATCCCGTTCACGTCCTTGGACGAGATCTCTAACTCACGCACTTAACAAAATACCATGAGACTATGATGGGTTGAGATAGTTGCTGTGGTTTTCTCCCATTACCAAAGTGATATAAAACCAACATGCACTGATGCACATCATGGAACATGACTAAAAGAGAAGTATGATATTGAGCTAAAAGTGAACTGAATAAACATAATTTATCTGTATCTTAGTGGGGTATCTTTTACTGCATTCTTTATCTGTTATTTGAGGAATACATGGTTAACTACTTACAACCTATCTTACCCACACATAGCTCGACCATTTTGAAAAGCCAAGTATTATCTGCAGTGGGAAGAAATTCAGATATCTGTTTAGTCAAGTGTATCGGATTTCTCTGACCAACGTTTTGTTATAGTGATTTGACCTCCTTTTGCCTTTCTGTATGACTGTATTCATTCAAATTTGTTGATAGATCTATTCATCTTCTAGATAGTCATATTTGAAGTCTGATTTTTACCTCCGAAAAGAGTCACATCTAAATAAAAGGAGCTAATTTTTATGGAAATTCTTGTAACTTTTCCAAAATAGGACTACTATGTTTTTATTCCTTACATAGGAGTAATTGATGTCAAAATGTGGTAGTATTTTCCAAGCTTTACAACAATTACTCCTATTTGGGAAATAAACATATAGTACTCATGTTTCGGAATTTCAAAACATTTTTACTCCTATTTCGGAATTTTTCTCTTCAGAAAACTTTAAAATTACTATTTACCGAAGTTGTGCCTTTCCAAAATTTAAACAGGTGTGCCTCGATGAAACATGACTCTATTGGACAGAGGGAGTTTATTTTGTAACAGCCTCTAAGGCGTGTTTTCAATTTCCAGTTTATTATGTTTTTTGCTTCATGGTTGCTTTATTCCCTTATGTGATAAACTTTAGTAATAATTGATCTCTCTATTTCATTTTTTGCTTTATATTCCTTTTGTTGGGCGTTAGATCTTGCACACTACAATGGGTGACATTCATATGAAACTATACCCTGAAGAGTGTCCGAAGACTGTGGAGAACTTCACAACACATTGCAGGAATGGGTATTATGACAATTTGATATTTCATCGGGTCATCAGAAACTTTATGGTACAAACTGGAGATCCACTAGGAGATGGCACTGGTGGGCAGTCTATTTGGGGTAGAGAGTTTGAAGATGAGCTTCACAAAAGGTGGGTCTCTATGCGAGATACATGCCCATTCCCACAATTTATGTGTGTGATATCCGATGTTTGGAACACTACAGTTGCATCTTATAGTCTGCTTTGTAAGGCTTAACATGGGTGGTTACTGTGGAGGTTGAATTTTGTCATTAAGATGGCTGAATGGGTGGTATAATATTTTCTCAGTTCCTTCAAATCTAAATTTGGCAAGTTCTATATCATCTCTTTCCTACCACCGTCACATAAATATCTTTTCTACTTTTCATCAAAATATCCTACTAATACTACCCCTACTATTTCCATCATAAACTCCATCTATACCGTATTTGAAGAAACTGTAAAATTAGAGGGAGTACATCTCTATGTAAGTTCAATAGAACAAATTTTAAATATAATGCAAAATTCATCCGGAAAAAAATTAAATTTTGAATTACTTGTTTAATGGCAAGGTGATTCAGTCAACCTAGTGATTTAGTTTGTGTCTTTCTTTCCTCTTTTTACCAGTAGAAGCTTATTTAAATTTGGGTTTTGGTGCCTGCAGTTTGAGACATGATAGGCCATTCACAATCTCAATGGCAAATGCTGGACCAAACACCAATGGATCTCAATTTTTCATCACTACTGTTGCCACCCCATGGCTTGACAATAAGCACACAGTTTTTGGCAGGGTCGTGAAAGGAATGGATGTTGTTCAGGTAAACATTACTGGCCAATTAATTTTCCCATTTTTTTCTGATTTTTGTTATAAAAAACAATAGGCAGTAAACTATCAACCCAATGAAGAAAAATGGATAGTAGCTCTTATGTGCTTAGCATATTGTGGTGTCTGTCAGTATGACTTACTCATTTTGCTTTTTGATATCAATCCTCCCAAAATGATACGGAGTAATAGTTATTTTGGATAGCTTTCTCATAACAGCCTTTTGTGTTTATGTTTTACAAGGCTACCTTACCTTTAGTTTGACCTCTCTTTTTTAACTAATTTATAATTTTTTATAGAGAAAAGGGGCACACAAGCCTTTGAAATACTTTGAAAAAAAAAAGAGAGCCTTTGAAATACTGGCAATTCTGCAATCAGGCCTCTGAACCTGAATTATATCCCTCAACCCATTGAAATCAGGCTATCAAGCCCTTTTTACCTATTGGTGCTGGTAATTTCTCATGAGAAAGTTATGTCCTTATCGGCACCAACAGGTAAAAAAGTTGTCACTTTATTTCAATGGATTGAGTGTATTTGCATGGTCTTCCGGTTTAGGGTCTGATTGCAGGATCGCTAATAATTTGAGGGTTTATTTGCCCCTTCTCTCTTTTTAATAACAAAAAGTAGAAAGAATAAATAAATAATAATATTATTGTATTTTCAAAACGAAACGGCAATTACAGTAAACAATGAGTTAAAAATAGGAATCATAATATACAAATATAAACAAATCCTCACTTAGTCCCAATTTATGGTTGTTCTTGCATTCGGTCAACTTAACTCTTTCAATGTTTGATTTTGTCACCTTTTATCATATTCGAATTAGGTTGTTGCGGTTTAATAAAATGTTCAGTGTAGCTTCATGAAAGAGTGATCATTGTGATCAATTATCATAAATCTAACCAAGAACCTTAAATTAGGACAGGGCTAGTAAGAATAAATGAGAAAATAACCAATGATTGTAATAATGATAATAATAGATGTTTTCTGTATTTATCTACATCATTCATAAGATAAAATAAGAGTAGTTATTAAATATGTGAAAAATGTGTTCGTGTATACATTATAGGGAAAGTCATTTTACATGTTATGAGCTACTCATAAATAGGTATTACGATAAGCCTTTCAACAAAGGCTTGTATTATATAATAGACTACACAATGCTTTTTAATTAATCAGCTGATCCTATTTGCTATCGCTAATCAACGAAACCAAATATATTCATTGAAGAGTATTGCTCATGGACATTTCACATTACGATTTATTTATAAAGCTTTATCCTTTTGCTGTTGCAGGCGATAGAGAAAGTGAAGGTGGACAAAAATGACAAGCCATATCAAGATGTAAAGATATTAAATGTGACTGTTCCGAAGTCCTGAAACTAGTTCTCTCAACTGCAGCAGTTTCGTAAGGGTTGGATACTTGGATGTTTTCCATTGTTGCCCTTGCTGAAGTGGCGCGAAACACCTGCACGAACATTGAGTGAAAAACACAACACGATGGTATGTTGGTTTTGCCCTTCAACTTAGTATTCCATGGATAATGGTCAAATAAGTCCCTTCAACTCAACATGGTTCGCAAAGTGGGGTCCTTTAACCGCAAAATAGAGTAAAAAAAGAGAAGGAAAAAGAAGGAAAGAAAGGGAAAACCATAAGCAGGAAAGAAATTAGATGATACATATTCGAATAAAATCTTACACACACAGTCACAAACTCATATGCATATACTAATGTTTATAATTATATATTTGTGTGTTGTGTTCCTTTGAGATTTCCCTTGTGGTAATGGTCTGTTTTCTTGCAGAACTTTGTTGTCCCAAAAAACTTGCCTGTGCTATTTTACGATGAAGCTGAGAATTCAAAGCAGAGTGAGGAATGCCTTAAGAAGAACTATATGACCGCTTAAACGATTATGACCCTATACTGAAATCGACTCTCTGCTTGTTAAGTGGCACATTATGTTTCAGCCAAGTACTTCGTGCCCAAATGCACTCATTGTGGAACTTGAATTTGAACATTCTCCCAAGCTAACCACCCAAGACCTTAAAAAGTTCAGTATTTAAAATTCCATTTTACAAAATACAGTGCAAATGATATAAAGAGTAAGCCGAGACCTTACATTTTTACATTATAGTCACAAGACTCACAAATGATGCAAAACCCGATGGCTTTGCCAGAGAGGGTCGTGCGTTTATTTCAAAGAGATGACATTGAAATCATCTGCATCTATGTGCACCTCAATCCTCATGGTTGAAATCAAGGTCGAAATCACAATTTAAATTGTGGTAAAATTCTAGTAATGACTTTTTTTAATACAAATGATTATGATCAATGTTCTAAAAGGCGTGAGGCCAAGGCGTTGAGGCCAAGCTTCAAGCCTTTGAAGCCTAGGCGGGAAAAGGCGAAGTCTAGGCGTGAAAAGACATTACAGTTTTATATGAATAATTACTACTTCATATTTTATAGTGATATATGAAGAGAAAACTTTTCAATATTAATAAAATCTAGCAAATTTTCTTGACATTTACCTCATCGATGGGTGATTTGCATATGGACTTGTGGAGTATATATTTGTATTATACAAGATTGAGCTTCTTCCAAAAAAATGATTGAGCTTAACTTTCACTTTGTTCTATACAAACAAACACACATTTATAATTTGTAAAGGTATAAAAAGTGCAAATACAAAGTGTGCTATTGGTTTTTTCACCTTTTGTTGTATTTAAGAACGTTGAGTGGAAGTAGTAAATACTACTCTTATGAAAGAGAAAGAGAAGATAAAAAAGTAGAAGAAGTAAACACATTCTTCTCTTGGCATTGATAATAAGACTTACCTAATCAGATAAATTGTCGGGCAATTAAAAGAAAACTTTTAAAATGTAATACAATGCAGATAACAAATTAAATGAAGGATTGATATTTTTTAATTACTACCTCTGTCCCCCTAAGTTTGGGACAAGAGAAGGTGACGCAGTTATTAATAAAAGTGGGTTTATGTGGTTGATATTGAATTGATAAAGTAAGAATAAAGTAGGAATTGTTTAGAACCACACAAATTTTACCAAATAAGCTATGTGACAATCTTAGTGGGACAGACCGAAAAGGTAAAATGGGACAATCATAGCGGGACGGAGGGAGTAGTAAATACTCCCTCCGTCCCATTTATATTGTCCCGTTTCATCTTTTCGGGAAGTCCCACTTAAATTGTCTCATACCATATTTGGTAAAGTTTGTGTGACTCTAAATCATTCTTACTTTACTCTTACTTTATCAATTAATGTCAACCACACAAACTCACTTTTCTTAATAACCGTGCCACCTTCTTCTGGGACAATAGTGCTAGGAAATTCCTACGACTTCCCACACCGGAATTATGGGACTTGCATTCTCTATTCATTAATTTAAATACGAGAAAGTTTGGTTCGTATGTATTGCTAGGAAGGGGGCGTCTCACACCGGATGTGTAAGCGTTTGCTCGTCATTGGCTCTCATATAAATAGACAACGCGTATAGCAGAAACTTTAGGCCTTTGGTTCAGAGGAGGGGAGGGAAGGGGAGAGTCAAGGAGGGAAGGGAAGGAGAAGGGGAAGGAAGGATTTTGATAAAAATTTGTGTTTTGTTGAAGAAAATATGAGGAATGGTTTAATGATCATATTTTTCCAATTTACCTTTATTTGATAACTTACTTAAAAACTAGATACATCTCTAACTATTGTGAATATTACTCCTAAGGTCATGAGTCAGAATATATATTTTTTTTTGAATTTTTGATTTTTTACTTTTTTAATTTTTGATTTTTACTTTTTAAATTTTTTAATTTTTGATTTTTACTTTTTAAAATTTTTATTTTAGAATTTTCCATTTTTGATATTTCAATTTTGAATTTTTGAATTTTTGAATTTTTCAATTTTTGATTTTTTCAAATTTTTCAATTTTTATTTTTAAATTTTTTATTTTTTAATTTTCATTTTTTTTAATATTATAACGTTTTGTCTATTCACGTTCCATTCACGTAGGAGATGAGTAGTTTGTGGTTCAACAAGTTTCCCCCGAAATACCCCAATTTGGGGGTTGAAAATGGGAGGAAGTGGAGGATTTTGGAAGCCTTCCACTTTCATCCCCTTTCCCCTATTTCCTTCAACCAAATACACACAAATCACTCACTTCGCTCCCCTTCCCTCAGAAACCCTCAAACCAAGCAGGGCCTTAAAGTGTGAGCAAGGTGTCGTGGCAATCCTTGCTACAAATCTGGTTGTTAAAGGCGTGCTTATTTAGCGCGCCTTTGCGGCACTTTTTGAATATTTTTAGAACACTGATCATAATATATTAATACATTGTACTACCATAAATTAGAATAATAATAGTAAAAACTGTGTGATTAAAATTTGTGCAGAGGAGAGAGAAATGTACAGAATCACAAATTAGTTGTTTTAATAAGAAAGTGACAAAGTTTTTTGGAACAAGTAGAAAAGGAAAGTTGACAAAATCCAATGGGACGGAGGGAGTATTATTTATCCATATAATATCAATAATGATAATGAGGAAAAATATAATTCCCGAAAGTGGTAGAAAATTGTTATCTCTATCGGGTTTTGTTATTCAATGTGCTTACTTTTTATTATTTGCTACATTTACTCTAAAAAGATTAAATAAATCTGTTTTATGGATCACAATATTTAATTACATTTTGTTGATTGTGATTCTCAAAATTACAGATTTTAAAATACTGTGTAATCTCCTTCAGAAAAATGCCTTATAATTCGTTCAAACTTTTGTTCTCAACATTCAATCACGCATTCACGCACATTCAACCACGCCATGATAACTTTTGATTTCATTGAATTGTGTAATAATAAGAAAACCGCGTCATAATAACTTTTGATTTCACGCATTGAATTGTGTAATAGTAAGAAAACGTAAGATTAGAGTTACTTTTCTCGTCGTTTTAGCTACAGTTACCATGATGATCATTTTAACTATTTTTTCATATAATTTTTTCTTTATTTTATTAATAAAATTTATTTTAAATATAATTTTTTCATAAATCAGTAGAATCAAACAATACAGCCATTTCAATCGGAATTTAATAAGTTTCAACAAAATCAACCGGTTTCCGTGTTACCAAATGATTTCTAAATTGCCGTTATACACTTGTTACCCCAACCCAATCAAGACATCCTTGAAATTGAAGTATCGAATTCACAGGAAGACCTCAATTTGACACATTCTTCAAAAGTAATGATTTAAATGTTTTTTGTCATGCAAGAGTTTGTTTTCAAAGGTACATAATCAAAATTTACATGAAATTAAGTGACGATTTAGTTTTTACACCCTTCATAGTCCGAGTGCTTAACTTAGTCCAAAATGGTTCACAAATACGCCGGCCGGAAAGTGCAATTTCTTTATAATGACAGTAGTAACATCTCTAATTCTCTATGCACGTCTATATTCATCTCCACAGTCACCTGTTACATTTAGAAGATCTTTTCCCTTCTTTGTGACGTGTTCAATATGCTGCAAATCTTCTTGGTCTAGGGCAAGAGAGAAAACATCATTCGATTCCTTGACATGTTCTGATAGCCCAAGCCTAACACCTATCATCGATCCTGCCACACTAGGCTATGATTGCACACACAAAATAAGGAACAAGACTTAGACATGCTTAACAAAGGCAATATATTCTTTGAGGAGAAAAAGACCAAAGATAATAGGAAGAACCTGATCTAGGATGTATCTTACAGCAACTGTTGGAATGGAAACAGCATGTTTGTCGGCTATTTTTTTGAGTGTTTTAAGGAGCTCTTGGAAGAGACTCCACCCTCCCCAAGCATCAACCATCTGCAAAATTGCATGAGTTTTATCATGCAGTTGTTCATATACATTAAAAGTTCACCTGCAAAATATAACTTATAGTAACAAAAGTATAACGCTTAACACAAGAACTATAACTTCCTATAGGATTTTTACTATTAAAAACTACCAGTAAAACTTACCCATAAGAAGTTGTATGAATTGACATAAAAGAGCAGAGTTATCTCGCACGTGGGCTTTTTTTTCATCTGATCCTCTCTATGAGCGTGTCTATCTTAGTTTTATGCATTTAGATAATAGATACCACTATTATAAGGATAAAAGGGCAGTTCCACTCTTTTTTCACTTCCATAAGTGGTCAGCAGCTTTTGTAAGCATTCTAGCATTTTTATGTGGGAATAAATTTTGAAACGAAGTATTAAAAGAGTGCACTGTGCACTTGGTTGTACTCGGAAAATATTCGGTGCAAAATGACTGGAAAGTAAAGCAAGGAGTTTCCGAACTTTTCTTGTTTGATTAGTGGCACTTCAAACATTGGCCATAAAAGGCCATACAACTCCTTTAATGGTCCCTTTCGAACTGGAAATGAAAAAAGTAGAGGGGTGAGGAACTTCAAAAAGAAATTTTGGAAGACAACAGTATTTGAAGATAATAAATAAATATTGGTCCAGATCTAATAGATTAATTTTATTATTTGGTAATTTTTTTTAATTTGTATAGCAAAACACTGATATCTAAAAAAATGTGAAAAAATTGAAACATTAATCATCTCTCATTTTCCTTTGCATTTTTGGAGGCAAAACCAAACACAAGAAATTAATTTTCTCTAGCATTTTCTTTCCCTTCCCTAGCATTTTCCTGGAATCGAACATTGCCCAATAGTAAATTTTGATGGAGGGGTTTGGAGAGGGAAGACTGTGGAGGGATTAGACAATTTATTTAAAAATACAATGCGTTTACAAACGAATAAATGCCGATTGAAATGCTATAAAATAGCCTACTATATTGTTCCTACAATTGTTCAACATCTCGAGTAATTGTCAATTTACACCCCCCAATATCTTCCAACCAAACTGACCCCAAGGAAAACATCTGGACCTCCTTACCCTTCTTAATAATGTTTCGTTTTTATTTACCAAAATTACATACTTGTAGAAAATACTACTCGTATAACTTACTAAGCAGGCCTTCAAAAATATTGTTCTTGAATCAGATATATACCCTTTTGTACTTCTGTAGTGAGGGAGTGTTCAATTTAGGACCAGAAAATGGAATCCTAAAGTTGGTATCAAGATACTTTT